CGCATGTACTCATCATAATATGCAAACTTTCCTTTTTTTTAATAATACAAAAATATATTAGTATGTCATTATTGCGACCAATACTCCGTCATTTATTTAAAATAACAATACAAAATCACTAATACTCGTTAATAATAATAGTTTAATAGTACCATAATGTTCATAACAACATAAAATGAACAACAGTATCCCTAGGCGGTCCATATCCTTTATCGTTATTACCCAAACCTAAGAGATGGTTGTTTGGGATGGTTACGTCAGGTAAAACACGAAAACGAAAATATTTGGGCTTAGTAAAAATAGAGTATAAGAAACTATTAAACAGAGATGCCCGATCCATGGCGTGAGAAGCAGTTACACTATTAAAATGCAATATTTTGGGCAAGGATTTTGATTTAGTTTTGTTTCTTACGAACGTCCAGAAACGTTTAGGATTATTAACAATTAATGAACCAATATCACTGAGTAGGCCTAATTGTTAAATTTTCGGTTAATAAGGTTTTTGTGTTTGTTCCGTCATTTTCTAAACCTAGCCCAATGGCTCTCTTTATTAGTAGACTTAGCACGTTTCTATGCAGAAATTTCTTTGTTCTTAAAGTGCCTAAATTCACCTTCTATCCAAGCCGGTGCTGTTGTAGCTCTGATGGTCACTTTGGGAACATGAGTGTTAAGAAAATTATTTATGATACTAGCAAACTTTTTCCAAGCTGAGTTAACATCAGTAGCATTGTACACCTCATTGAATAAAAGGCTATCAAAGGTTCTTTTAATGTTAGAAAAATTAGCTTTCTTATAATTTAAGACTTTGCGTTTAAAACTCGTTGGCCTAGCGATTTTAGATCTAATTTTAAAATGCAAAAGCTTGTGATCAGTTTGATATAAATGATTAGACTGAATTACATCCGAAAATCTATCAGGTGAACTTGTGAAAATAAGATTAAGAATAATTATCACAACCCTCCCGTGAAGGAATTTATTAATTTGAGCTAAGAAATGTTCTTGTACTGTGCTAAAAAGGCGCCCTTCAGCGGAATCAGCACTAATATCATCAAACAAATAACCATTGACCTTGGGAAGATTAAAATCTCCAAGCAGGGGGATGTGGTTAAAAAGCGGTCTGAGTTTGGCAAGAGTTAATGATAGTATGTTAGTAAATTCGTCTTTGATTCCGCTGGGAGATCTGTAGCACAGTACAAGTGCCATTTTTTTGGCCTAAAGAGGGTCTAAGTTCTATTATCATGAATTCGTCGTTAGGCTCGATGTCACAGCGCCTTGTAGAAAGTAACGTAGACTTACAAGACTCCACCACCATTCTTCTTGACGCCACGCACACGATCCTTTCTATCCCAGTAAAGGAATTTCTAAATCAGAGACAGAGTCATTGAGCCACGTTTCCGTAATGAATATACAATCGTTATGTTGAGAGGATTCGATGACCTCAAGATCTCTGAATTTGTTTGTTTTTGGTATTGACCATTTTGCAGCTCCTAGCATTTATGTATAAACAGTCAGTAGAGTTCTCTCGGCATGTCTACTACTAGTAATGCTATCTTGCAATGATTCATTCGTAAGCAATGTATTAATTCATAAAAGGTATTATGAATATATTTTGTGAATGCAATATATACATACAATACAATAAAATATAGTTAGCTAGAGCCTATAGCCTGGGCTATACCTAGAATAACGAAAGCCCCCTTTGTATTGTAGTTTCATTTTTGTTTATTGTTTATTTTTGAAATACACAAAAACACGCAAATATGTGAATTCAGAATCGTGATTAAAAGACACGCATTATCAGTAGTAAAATCTAAAAATTGCGGTCCTTACCTACCAAGATGATTAATTGAAAAAAAGAGAAAATTGAGAAAAGGGAATAACACACCTCATAAGTCACATCCAACACTGCTCCTGACAGAGACCTTAACAATTAATTACACAAATGAATACCCATGGTCAACTTTGACCAACGGATGCCAACTACCTACCAAGATAATTTAATTGAAAGCAGCACACCGATAGGGTGACCTTTTTTAGATGGTTATTGACGAGATTAATAAGCTAATAATGGAGAGACAGTTGAGTATCGAAGCTTTAGCAGTCATGAATTTGTAAATTTTATTTCTGATGTATTACAATCATCTACTAAGCAAGTTTATCTTTAATAATAGGCCTACAGTTTAACATGATTACTATCAAATTGGATAATATTCTTATAATGTTTGAAATACAAAGGTAAATCTTACACAAAACTTGGATACGGGCTAGCCGAGTATGGGCTAGATCCAGCAAAAAGTATGGATACGATTTAGCCTGTAAGCCATAATGAAGTTCCTTGGCTCTTTCCCACACATCGGCCAGCAGAAAGGTATTCGTTTAGCCTAGTCATAAGAGACACCTTTCATGATTTTTCTGTAGGTATGTGGCTGTATAATTCTACAATTTTAGAGGGAAACATGCTATAGGCCTAGGCTTGGAATGCAAATAACTATGTAAAGCGTGTGTTTAGAGTCGTTATTAGGATTTTTCACTAGCGCATTATAAATCAATATAATCTAATAAATTAAATGGTAGGAAATTAGGATGTTGGTTCCCGGCGTTTGAGGCTATTCCTGTATGGTAGTTAAACTGTTGTAATCTGCTTGTTTTATTATATGAAATACAGGACAAATAATCCGTACTAGGATTGTATAACAATTGCATAATTCCATTCTAAGCGGACTGTCACTCGTCCTAACTAATATGAATATGATAACAGTATAATATATTTTGTATTGTTGGGGTGTTATTTTGTTATGTTGTATTGGGGCTGTATTGTTAAGGTTGTACAATTAACATATTAGTTATTATTATATTTTTAGTGATTTTAATGTGGCATAGTCATCATAGGCGATTCAAGAATGCAACATCAACGTGATGTCATGTTCTGTAAATCTATTAATATTTGTTTTATATAGATTACAAAGAAGAAAATCAGAAGTGAATTTAGTACTTCAGGTAAATGCAGCAACACCAAATGATCGATCAAAAGATCACGGAGCTCTTGTCGCCAAGTCAGCCACACCAGCTGATATTTTGAGATCGGCTATTCAAGGTGAATTCTGTAATTGCATGCGTTCTTTGATATATTGTTTTTATTGTTGAGAACATTTTGAATAATGTGGCCTATATCTAATGACAATATAGAAAAATGTAGAATCATATATCAACATAGAAACAGGGTATTGGGTGAAGTAAACTCGTATTGAGGGTGACTAGTCATTGGTCCGAAGGCCCATTGGTCCGACAGTCCATTGGTCCGAAGGCCCATTAGTCCGAAGGTCCATTGTTCCGAAGGTCCATTGGTCCGAAGGTCCATTAGTCCGAAGATCCATTGGTCCGAACGTCCATTGGTCCGAAGGTCCGAATGAGAGTGTCTTTTCCGGTCATCTAGAAGTTCTATATTTTAAAATTTCCTACCCCAACCGTGGTGGGGCTGAGGTAAAATTGGACTGGTTAAGCCCTCCTCCTCCTCCAAATTTTAGGGAAAAAATGTCGACGCTCTTGTTTTCATTGTGATAAGGTCCAAAATTTTATGATCACGACCACCCCCCACAAAAAAAAATCCTGGATACACCCCTGTAGGCGCTATATTTGTTAAACGCCTCTCACTTAAACTCATAGTATTTTGTACAGAGTTAATTAACTTAAACAATGCTACATTTTTCATTGCAACTTTTTTGGTGACTGATTATAAATATTGTTATTTAAATATTTATATATTTGGTTGGCGTTTTAATACCCAAATAATCTTCGTCATCGTCGCCAACATCCTCATCATCATTATAATCGTCAAGATCATTCGTCACCTTTGTGAACGTTATCAGCAGGAGAGAATCCAGAAAAAAAAATGCTAGTAGGGGATAAAATTATCAAAAAGGTTTTAATAATACCATTTAAACACTAAAATATCATTATAAGGTCTTTCCATTCTGCATTTTAATTATTCACCTTACAGTATTTCATAATTGTTTAGCCTTTTCCCAGCCATTTTAGGGTCCTTTGTTTTAATTGCTTTTTTTTTAACGCAATATTTATCGTTTGTTTGTTTGTTTGCAAATTTCATCTTGGCAATGTTTAATGTGGTTCCGAAAAAGTTGTTGTCATTGAACGTTTTAAATGATCTTGATTTACTAACTTTTTGGTACATTTTTTTTTATTTTGCGATTTTAATAAATCAATCAATGGTCAGTAAGCCGAAGGCTAATTACACCATAAGTTGATATATTTTGTTTAGTGACAAATATTAGGTCAATAATTGTTTTAATAGTTTTTGTTGTAAAAATTGATGAATAACTTGCATTATATTACCTTGACTGACTATGGTGTTCATCTATTTAGGTTAGATTAAAATCTAACATAATGGCATCATTATATAATGCAGTAAAATTTTGATACGTTAGGTCAAGTTTTGTTAAATATTCAGCCTTTGCTTTGAGTGGTCTATAAAATTGCCTACAGAGCTATTGAGTGGGGTGAGTTTATTTCTACCGATAGTGCTTTCCATCTTTGTCAAACATATTCATTTCTTTAATAGATTACCATTTTTAATGTAAAGTAATTTACCACCTTGCCTATCAAGTCTACAGATTTCATGAACTTCGAGTAACACTTCATTGTTGTCAATATTATCACCAGTAAATCCCGGTTTAGTTTCAGCCAGCCACGATGGTCCTCCGGTGATAATCGTTATTGAACCTACAGAAATTGTACAAACAAATTTCCTGTAGGCAAAACAAAACCCTGTAGGACTAATTATAAACAAAATCTTGACGATCCAGAAATTGCGTAAAAAATCCCGCCGATCCTGACTTTAAAAAATCCCGTAATTTTACCAAATCCCGCCGATTCAGTTATTGCGTACAAAATCCCGTAATTTTACAAATAAATTCCCGTCCATCCAGAGGAATCCTAACAAAATTCCGGCGTGATGGGGTCATTCTGATGGAATCTTACTGAATCCCGATCGGGATCCCGATTTCATCTTTGATAGGGTATCTGTCATCCATATGTGATTTTGTTTGATTGTCACTATGGTTCTTGTTTTTATTTATGAAATATGGTACCGTATCGTATTGTGCCCTATCTTAAACTTTCGGACCAATGGACCTTCGGACCAATGGGCCTTCGGACCAATGCACCTTCGGACCAATGGGCCTTCGGACCAATGGGCCTTCAGAATAATGGTCCGTCCCCGCATTGAGTACATGAAGGCCTACCTCAGTTAAGCGCAGGCCTACATATCTTTTGGGTATGTGTTTAACGCTGGTGATATAATGTGAACTGATTTGCTCTTTTTATTATAACGCATTGTATCAACTGAATAATTGCTCATTCTATTTCCAGTTAACAGATTTTTTTTTTTTTCAGGAAAAGAAATGACAGAACTTCGACATATTATACACGAACTGAGGACATTTGACAGTATGGTAAATTAACAAGTACACATTACAAATTAAGTTAAATTTAAGTTTAAACTGTCTCTCTTAACTGTGGAGTTTGAGCAATTCAGTCAAAATATAAAAAATAGTGTTTATATCCTGTGTAGCATTCTCAATACCTAAAGGCTATGTTTCTTATGTAAAGTCTATTTCACACACCGGGTATAACTGACGCTGGGAGCGCGTTCAGTGGCGTAGCTAACAACTTGAATGATTATTTAGTACCGCCTGATTATAAAAATACACAGGAAAATAACCAATGTATGACTCTTTTACATGGTTGGTGGATTTATTGCCTATGTTCAGACAAACGAGTTACACATGAGTACGCCTTTAACCGGTATGAAAATAAGGTTGTTCAAACTAAGCGGGAATCATACACACATACTAGACAAGCATGGTATTTTCGTTGAAGTATTAGACCTATTATATATATTTTAAAGGTAAGATATTTAAACAAACATATTGCAGTTTGTATGGTATGCGTAAATCAGCCTACAATATGATATTAATTTGGCCACCCCTACTATCAGCTTGGAGGTCTAGGCCGACACATTTGGCAAAATGCCTGAATTTAAAAAACACACTAAATCCATAGTAATGTTCATATATATTTATAAGCAAATAATTGTTCTAGAATTATTTACCACAACAGAAGAGGTGTTTGTGTCAAAAATAAATCACGTTTTCGGAATGTACAATACATACGATTCAAGTGGCATGTTGTGGTATAATCAGGGAACAGTAGAATTACATTGGAACATCTCGAACGAACATCAAAGGTTATAACCCGCGGTACCGCCCTTTCTATTACAAAAGCAACTGATAAGCAATTTACAACTAAATATTGTTCGAAGGTTTGCATGGCGAAGTTATAATATATATTGTGATGCTTGCAGTACACCACATAGATAGTTCTGAAAAGAACTGTTGGTTGAGAATATCTCGACGTTTCGATTAAGTTGCTTCAATCTTCTTCAGGAGAATACTATCTACAGAAATTCCAAACAGGGAAATACTTATATGTTTGGGGTAGTGAGACTTACTGAACTAAACAATAGCGGAGACTACGTGTGAAAAAAGCTAAACTAAAGCCAAAATTCACAGACCCTGCAAAAAGGTGGGACGTCGATAGAAAGCCAAGACAGTGGCATTGTTTTAGGTTGGTGAAAGGAAAGCCAACAACAATAGCATGGTTCCCAGTGTGGCGAGAAAAAGTGTTGCATTGGTTTATTGTAGTTTTATTAGGAACAGCCAAATATCGTCTAGAAGGTGACCCTACTCTTCAGGAAAGAACAGTACTGTGTTTACTGCCTACCAGTTTCAGATGGCATGACCAATTCTTTGAACAAACAGAAGGCACGGCCATGAGATCTCCTTTATTCCCAGTCATTGCCAACGTCTTCCTCGAAGAATTCGAACAGCTAGCTCTTCATTCCGCCACCCGAAAACCAAAACTTTGGCTCCGATACGTCGGTGACACATTCTTCATTTAGATAGTTTTCTAGATCACCTGAATTCTCAGCACAAAGCAATTATGTTTACTATTAAAGAAGAATACAATCGCTCTTTACCTTTTCTTGATGTTTTGGTCACCAGGTAGAATACAGGGATTTTATCACATTCAGTCTATCGCAAAAACAACTCACACCGACAGATATTTAAACAAACAGTCGTTTCACCATTCATCTACCAAGAAAGAAGTTTGCTACACACTTATCAACAGAGCACACAGCAATAGTGACCGCGACTCTATCCAGCAACAAGTGCAGCACGTCATGCAACCTCTGAAACTGAACGGTTATCACATGAGAGATTTTAAATTATATAAATCCAGCAATAGCCAAGATGATACGGGATCTAGAAAGTATGTATGTTTACCATATTTGGGACAGATTTCACACCGTATTCAACGTATTTTACAAGCCGATATTAAAGTTTTTCAAAGTGCATTCTACAAACTATCCCGGACTCTTCAAACACACAAGGATAAGCCACCAGCACAGAGCCAGCCAGGAGTTTATCGGATTCCATGCGAATGCGGAAAAGTTTACATTAGTGCAACAGGAACACCAAGGCCATGCCAGGAGAGGGGAACAACAAAAGTCATCTATAGTCATGCACTCCCACACACAATAGCACCGTGTATGTTGAGATAAGTCTGTACTGATAGCCACTGTACCACCTTGGCATTCCAGACGGACCAGAAAAGCTATACAAAATTCACAAACACGACACAATACATCAAGATATCGATTTTTTTTATTTATTCATTATTCAACATGACAATACAAAAGAGACAAAACATAACATTCGTACATACTAAAATCTAAACAGTTTAACCACAATGGGGGTATATATATATATATATATATATATATATATATATATATATATATATATA